AGATACATACCACAACTTTAGCTATTAAACGTGCATCTTAAAGAGCTTTAAAAGTCTCTACAAGATGGACTTTCATGAGAAATTTGAAATAAAGAACTTATCGACAAAAGATGGTTTTCATAGGACTACTCTAATAACAAATTTAAAGAAAATGTGCTTCGGAAAACTTTTTGTTCTTAAAAATTCCCTTTCTTTGGTGTTTGTAAACGTCAGGGTGGTCCTCAAATTAGGGGATTTTTAAAAACTAACATTTTTGTTTTTCAAAATAAAAACATGTGTTGTTTGAAAAAGTTGTAGCTGAGTTAATTTCACGCAACTTTGCCCAAAATTTTTTTTTTCTATCTCTTAACGTTCTCGTTTTAGAGTAATTTTTCAGAGTTGACTTAGGGTGTTCCTGGAATAAAACATAGTTTTTTAGCACTAACTTTTTTATTTCAAATTTCTCATGAAAGTCATTTTCTAGAGACTTTTTTTTATACGAGTTCAAAAAATAACATACCTTTAATTTTTTCCTATAATTGAGAATAATATATGTCCTTTCAAATGCCGTAAAAAAAAACTTCTTCTGTTTACCCTAACCTGAGATATCAACCTTTGAAAAGGGCATATTTTTAGTACAAAAACGTTAATAACTCTTGATTGGCGAAAGATATTGAAAAGCTTTGTGGAGCAAAAATTTGAGCCTACTAAAGATCTAAAAGTTATTTCAAGACACCTTTGCTGATAAATTTTAAATAAGACAACTAGAGCAACACAAATGTTTTTTTAGAGTCACCCTAATTAAATTCAAGAAAATAGCTCTAAATCGGTCAATTTAAGAGATACATTGCTAGATTGCTTGAAATTAGCTCAACTTTAAACTTTTCCGAAGAATGTATACCTTAATTTCTTCAAAAAAAAAGTTAGATTTTTGATTTTAATGATAATAAGAATCACCCTTGAATTCATTGTCATAAAAATGAGGGCCAAACCATAAGGAACAACTTTGTAGACGAGACACTTAGTCTAAACTTTCAATTTCAGGCTCAAAACATATCCTTCCACCTAAATCTGCATTCTGTACCACTGGTTCAGCCCAACAGCATGATGAAATCAGTAGAATAGTGGTTACCAGCATGCTTGGCATACACAGTTTTGCTCACGAACTGCTCATTTGCTAATAACTTTGCAGAGAGTTGACGAAACATAGTTCTGTTTGAAGCATTCGATAGAATAAAGTTTAAGCTTTTTATAGATATGTAAAAAAAGGATATTTTAATTCTAGTAATAAACTGTATTTGATTTTGCGTTGCAAAAATGAAGTGAGAAATGCTCGCCGCACATCTCGGACTTTAAGTGTAAAAAAATCATTGGTGATGATTCAAATGATAAGATTAACCTACTCTTTGCATGTCTACAGTAAACTATGATCCTAATCTATCAATTACTTTAAAGAAAAACAAATTTCAACAACTGAGTGAAAAGTTAGTAACAAATGAGCAGTTAGTGTGTACAACTGTGTATGCCAAGCATGGTTACCAGTTCCGCTTTCCAAGTAGAAGATCGCAAGTTCAATCCCAAGATCTCACTTGAGAATCCAAGCGTATACAGCATCGCTGTTTAAGGAAGCAATGATGTCTAATAAACGCTGATCAAAAATTTTATCGAATAAGCACTATTACGAAGCTTCTTGACATATCTTATACAACTCCAAGTAGTTCAATGTTGTGGTTAAATAGATTCTTCAGATTTGTGTGAACAATGCCTGAACAGAAGTTAGTATTAAAAATAGTAAAAGTATTATTAAGCATACAGTTGGATTAAATCGTCAAGAAGTCGTTTATTCAATTGTCGATTGTTTGTTGGTTGTTTTGCAGCTTATGAGCTAATGCATTAAAACCAACGAATTATTTTGTACACGATGAAATCAACAATCAATGCGAAACTATCGATTTTAAATTGGCTCACTTCTTGACTAGCCTATTGGTGCCAAGCAAATCGATTAACGTGCCCCATTCTAGTCGAAATTCTAGTACTACACTATATTTGTTTTGATTTGCCATCAAAGTTTGACAGATAAAATTAGGGGTTCGTGGATTTTCCTATGTTTCGAGGGGTGCATCGATTAGCTTGGGACCGAAGATAGCACCAGAGCTGAGCCAAAAACTTGAGCTTTTTTCTTCAGGACCTACTATTCTTAGAGTTACCTCTATGGTGAAATCATTGATATTATTGATGTTTTCTGCTCTAGAGAATGGAAATGGGTGATTACGACGAAGTAGCGCTCTACCCGACGTGCTAATTTTAATTTCTTTTTAAACGGGTTGATTTGACATCATATGTCATTTAATCCTAGGGGTATTCAACTTTGCACACATTAATTCGTGCCGAGTAATTGAGTTGTACCGAAAGCTGTGCCAAGCACTGTGCCGAACGTGCCTGTCAAGGTCAATCAAAGTATGCCTATCGAGGCGTCAATATTCCATGAGTTTAGCATCCCTCAAAGTTATGACTTTTGTGATTGTGTTTACATTCTCAATTTCTCTGATGGATGGATGGCAAGCATTCAGCTTCATTCTCATTAGAGCGTTAGCGGGTCAAGAGGTGGAAGAGGAACTGGAAGCCATCAGACCAATATGCACAGTAAAAAAAAATGTAATATCGATCAATGTAATTCAAGCTGATGTATGAAATAATGATGTAATAGCAAAAAGCAGATACAATATTAGATCAATGGATGTAATTTTGTTTGCAAAATCGATGTACATCGTACAACGTTATTTTACACAACCGATGGATTGACCTGGTTGCAGCAGTTTGGATGTAACTTTTTTTTCTGTGTGGTGTTAAAGCAAATTCCACAATGTTATGGTTCGATGTCCTTTTGAATTGTTGATTCCTTGCAGGTGTACAAAGGAGAAACCCGATCGATGAAGAACGAAATTCCTCCCCGACTAAAGTAAACCCAGAACTGGAACGAGCGATAGTACAATCCCACGCTAGGAGCAACATCGTCGAAGTGCGTGTCCTAAACGATATAACCCAAGCCTATCGTATTGTTGATTATGATGCCTTCTACCAACTATCAATACGAAACTAATGATTTGAAATTGGCTCACTACTTGACTAGCCTATTGGTCCCAAGCAAACAATTAACGTACACCATTCTAGTCAAAATTCTATGTTTGTTTTGATTCGCTATGAATGTTTGACAGATATAATGAGGGGTTCGTGGATTTTCCTATGTTTCGAGGGGTGCATCGATTAGCTTGGGACCGAAGATAGTACCAGAGCTGAGCCAAAAAGTTGAGCTCGTTTCTTCGGGACCTTCTGGTCTTAGAGTTACCTCTATGCTCCTACCACCTCCTAATTACATACCACCAAGCCTACCAAACTACGATCTGATGCAGTTGAGGTACCTTCCGCAATGCAATGTACCACCGATGAAAACTATCAAATATCTCCCCCTGAACATCTGTCATGCTTCGAAAATAGGATTCTCGGCCAACGCAAACTTCAGCGGAAGCGCTTTATCCGGCGCCTATAGGTCCTTATAGAACTCGAGCAGATTCCGCCCAATCCACTCAGCTTCACACAGATGACAGACGTGGGCGATTCTTGATTCAAGAGCTTATAGCATTCTATGGTCATCCCTATACAGTCCTGTGGTCATGCCATCGAAGTCCATTGCAATTGAGACTAATGACTGACAAGAATATCCGAGGAAAAACATAGAAGAAAATGTGAAAACTTCCGTCCCGAAGATACTCGGCAAGACCGGGATTCAAATCTGGCCACCCCCTTTTTATGGTCCATTCTGCATAATACATTAACACCTCAACTCTCGCAGAAGATCCTGTTCTGATCTTTCGTTGTACGCTTCGTATAAAATGCTAAGTTCGAAAATAAGAACTGTATTCCGGAATAACGCCTCCAATTGGGACCCTTGGGGTAAACCATGTGGGCGAGAATGTGAGCAGCGTTGAAAAAGTTTGCGATATTTCACGAAGTTCATCAAGGAAATCGTGAGTCGTATTGAGTTTTGGTGAACTTTTCCAATACTGAATGTGAGCATTCATCAAGCTAGATGCTCATCGTTCCTTCGTAGTTCTTTTCGTACGGATAACAGCATAGCTTAGGTGTTCCACCGGGTCGTATAGTTGAGATCCATTTGCTTAATATTGATGAAATTGTTGGTATAGCCTTCCGAATTTATCACCAAAGGCAACCGTTGGGCATTTTTCACAATTATTTCCATCATCGAAAACGAATCGTCTCTAGAGGTAACCCATTTCAGCCGCCTTGACTGCCATACCGACAAGAACCGGCCATGGTGTAGATGAACTCGACTGAAGTGAGGCCCGAATAGAAGCTGTTCAAGATAAAAACAGGATCCGCTGAGATTTGTGCTGTGATTCGGAAGAGGCGAACTTAGTTTTGCTAGGTTTGAAGAGATTCACGATTCAGAAAATACTTACAGAATTTTTCGAAAATCCTCAACACCGGTGGGTACACGTTTGTTGTTTTTAAATTCGTGATTGAGTCATTGTATCACCAGTTTAATGATCCTAGGTTTTATGTATGACACTCTCTCGCTAGCTTCATTTGTGAGTAATCAAAATATTGAACCGAGTAAGTAGTAAACCTTAGCAACGATTGGCAAAACGTCAACACTCAACAGTGATGGCGTTTTATATTATATTGTTTGTGTCTTCTTTATCAAAGTGTGCCTTAATGTGCCCATGTTGTTATACGACTTCCGAATGTCTGGGAAAGTCGTGCAGTGTTTGAAGTTTCCTAGAATTATACCAGCTACTCGAGTGATCAGCTTTTGGAATAATAAGCCAATTTGCAATCGACCAAGTTGAAGACATCTATGTTTGACGTGATGAAAATCCTAGGGTTCTGGCAACCGAGTATTTCAGTTTTATTAATCGGCATTCGTTTTAATTTGATGATTATTTTACCTTAATGGCCCATAGTTCAACCCAACTCAACCCTTCTCTTCTCTCCCGTTTCAGAATTGGAAACCGGTTGCCCTCCGCCGGATTTCAAAATATCCCGTTCCCGGAAGCATTATGCCACGACGGAGGCCCCGTTCGTCACCTTCGAGACGACCCAGATTTACCTACCGCAGGACTTTACGACGGCCGATCTCGAATTCGTTGACGGCAAAAAGACCGCTTCCGTTGTCGAAGGCTTGCTACCAGACAACCAGAATGCGCGGCTGCATGATTCCCACGATACGCCGTTTTGGTGGGAAATGGGTATCCAGAATGCTGAAGCGAGAGAATCGCTGGCGGCGGCTTCGTTTCCATCCTACAAGCAGCGAGCGAAGCGGGGTTTGAGAAGAAGCCATCGTGTTCGAAGATCGACGATCGATTCGAATGGCCAGGACAATGCGTTGTTGCATCAGGAGTGGACGCCGGTCGTTGTGATTAGCAATATTTTCAATGAGAACGACAGTGATCACAGCGTGTTTGACAATGTGTTTCTGAGTGGAAACCAGCTGGATGGGGAGTTGGACGAGGAAAAGGATCGCTATGTGGATCAGAACGAGATTGGAGACGTTCTGGAAACGGAGGTCGTCGATGGACGTGGCGTGAAGACGCGAGTGAAGCGAAAGTCCGGGAAGACGACCGGAGCGTTGAGTAGAGCGAAAGGAAGTGGAAGTGACAGCGGCAGTAAGAGTATCACCAGACACAACAAACAAGGTGAGATTTTTCCTGACGTTGGGATGGGTAGATTTAGGGACTTGGTTCGAACTAGTTCACGAGAGTTGATGTTGTTGTTCGAGTTTGGTAGTTGAAGTGTAAAATCACAATCCTGATTGATGGTTTGGCGATGGCAATTGGAAATTGGAGTGATAGAAGTTCAAAATTCAAAATTACTTCGAATGTAGCGAAGAAAACGAAGGATTTGATGATTTTAGGCAAGAATGATTCCTGTTAGTTCAGGGACAGTTAGTTTGCTAAGAGTCGTTACTTAACCAATACTGAGAATAGAACATGATCTAGATATCTTGGACGAGGAGCAAGACGACCGCGAAGTGCCTGCCAACCATCGGGACGATTCGATGGTACGGGAGAAGCGTAAATCTGGTAAGGCAACCGGTGCTCTTAGTCGTCCGAAAGGTGGTAGCGATAGCGGCAGTAAAAGTATCAGTCGTAATGCCAACAAAGGTGAGCCCGCTAGTACATAGAGTTTCATTCCCTCTTTTACATATTACATCGCCTAAAATCGCTGTGCCTGCGCTGCAGAGTAGAGAATATTCAGTTGTGGTCCACGCTTCGCACTTGATCAATCACTCGCATCCAAAACGTCCCCCATACGATACATTTGTTTTCAATGCCAAATTAACATTTTCAAACAGTACAGTTTTCGACAAGTTTTCAGCTTTCACATGCTTCCGCTTGCAATCACTCTATCAAACCTTTGACCATAGAATAACCCCATTCGGTTGTTTTCGTAGGTCAATACGACGAGGATGGAAGTTACGTTCCACCATTGCCAGACTCCCATGAGGGTCCGGATGAGGAAAAAGAAAGCGAAGAGATTGAAGAAAGTCCAGAACTGCATCAATTCCGAGATGTAAGCGAAGTTCGCTTTCCCGGCGAGGTTGGACCACTCGGAGATCACCGACTGTGTAAGATCCAGTGCGTTAGAGGTCATTGGGTGGGACCGCTATGTGCCATGAACGAACACGAACAGGACGAGAATGGACAACTGAAGTTTGAGCCTTTGTACAAGCGATGCATTGTAGATCACATTCCACCACATCTGCTGCTGAGTTACAAGAACGTGTCTGTGGTAAGAACTTTGATCGTCTACTATTTGTTCATACAAGATTATAACGGATTTGTTTTTGCAGACTATAGGTTGGGATCTACCCCACGGTCACCAACTGCAGGCAAGATGTAGGGATCTGGGTCTGTACAAACTTCTAGGTGATGCAAAAGTACTCTGTTCCAATGGTATGTGGGCTCCTAAAATGCCATCATGCGTGCCGACCACTCTACTAACAAACTATTCCGGTAATATCCCACATACACTACATAATCGACCAACAACTAACACCATCCCAATCCATCAGATGACAGTCCACCATCGATCCGTATAAAAGTAGGTGTGGGATCAGCTGCCTACGAACCATCCGGAGTTCTAGCCGTGCTTCCTACTAGCACCATTCATCTGGACTGCATGTACCCTCGGCGCCGAGGCTCCCCCGAATGGACCTGGACCGGCTGGTTCCGTCAATATCTAACCGGTATATACAAACTACACCGCACTAATCCCGCACGTCGTCCATGCCACCAATTGGAATCCTTTCGTTCAGCTTTCGAAATCTTCTCACCCCACCACATTCGGGTTCTCTCTAACCACAACTGGAAACAACTTAACCTCTCTGCTCTCTGTTTTCTTTCGCTTCGGGATTCCGAATTTCATTTTCTACAACCCCTCCAATCCCGTAGATACGCCCGGCAGTGGCATTGCAGTTAACCAATTCAATCCGATTCCTGATTTTTTCAATGTAGGTTGGTCCGCTGTGCCGGAGGAGAAGGCATCTCGCTACCGGCTGACGATCAAGGACATCCAAAATCAGGACTCGGGAACGTACACCTGCGCGTCGCCACGTGGTCTGACCAATAGCATTGTGATCGTTGTGGCCAGTATGGATGATTTGATTGGATTGTGAATTTTTTGACGAATAATATTTTTTTTTGGGAATTCTAGCATCGCAATGTTCGACCTTGCTGGAACCCAAGCCACCGTTATCGCTTCGATTGGAAGGTATCAAACTTGGACAAAGGGCACTGTACCGGTGTCCTCTGGGGTACAGCCTACAAGGAACGGCTAATGCTACCTGTTTGGCATCAGGTATGTTGAGATTCTTTGGGAGCTTGTTTGATGTCACATGTACTGATTATTGTATACGAAAAAAGGTTGGGACCCCCTTGTTTATTTAGATACCGTAAGGTCCTGAAACTAGTTTGTTAGCTCATTTTTTTGCATTATTTTCCAGGTAACAAACTTGTTCCAACTTTTTTCGTATACATAACTCAGGATGTATGACATCGCTGTTTGTTGGGCCTGTGGTTGTTGTTGCTCATCTGCACGCCCACGGCAAGTTGCACCGCGATTCAAATTTTAGAGATTGAGTAAGGCCTTACTAGCCTTACAAGAACTAATCTGATCAGTAGACCACCCATCGCATCGGGGCCCAGGCGAGTAAGAGAGGTGCCACAGTCGTGTTAGTTTGTTAGTTTGTTTACTTAAATGAACCATGCCCATTTTGTTATGGCAAGTTTGCTATGAGAAATGCTCCTCGTGTTTATTAGCGAAATTCACATCAAAGATTGATTAATTGCGTAGGAAATCAGTTTGGCACGGCATTTGAGACCAGCATACACCTTCCGGTCGTATGAAACAGGTCAAAAACTGTCCAAATCCGCAGATAAAAATTTTTGTTTTGAATTTCTGTATAGCAAAATAGTGAACTTTTCGTGAACATTAATGGCAAAGAACTCACCAACACTGGGAGACCGTGAGTTCTTGCCCACCTGTCTTAAAAACATCTCGCATCGGGGCCTCTTGAGACAAACTAGTTCAACAGAAGGATGGTGACAGAAATGCATCTGCAAAATGACCGCATCGTTGATCATGGGTATACTTGATGTCGGACTCAAGGAATGGAATCTAATTGCATTGATCTGTTCCTATTAATCCTATACTATACTACTACACTGAGGCAACTGTACATAGGTTCAGATCTGTTGGAATATTCAAAGTTAACGTATCGACATCCCCCAGCAGTACAGGAACTTCTATGAACATCTCTATATAGTCCTGTGGATTTCCCATCGATGTCGATGATCCATATCAAATCAAAACCAATGACTGGCGACCGTCTTGACGTTCTTGACTGCTGTATCGACCGATCACAATGAGGAAGAACTCTGTTGCCGTTAGGATCGAATGGAACCTGTTCTGGTCGAAACCAGCTGAGAATTTCGCTATGAATCCGATGAGATTTGTTGAACTCATGCTACATAAAATACTTAGATTTGAAAAGTGGTAAGGCACGATCCTCGAACCCATTGTGAAGCCCAATGGAGTAAACAAAGTAGTCAAGACGATGATCCAGAGGCAGCCCAGCTGGACAAGCTCTTACCGGCCGAAGTGACATGACTGGAGGATCCATTCGAGAAGGCGATCGAGTTCCTCTGACTGCTGCGAAGGCAACATTGAAACGCATTCGACTGAATTTGAAATCTACAGCCGCCGGAGCAAGCTGCTGTTGATGTTACAATCGCAAGAACGGGGTCATTCTAACGATTCCAACCATCTGACGCTGATATAATTAATCAGTTCTACGACATTTTGGAAACAATATCGAAAATGACACGCCGTTATCCACAAACAAATAAAGCCATTTAAGTGACTGGCATACTCGGCACTGCCCTCAATGTGCCGATGCACTGAGAAAAAACTTGGCGCAAAATATGTGTGTAGAGTGATGACTCCTTGATTTTCATTGCAAACCGAGTTAGCTGTGCAGAAAGCTGTGCCAAACGTGCCGAAGTAGGCTGGAGTGTGCCAATAAAGTTGCCAATATCCCACGAGTTTGGCAACCCTGAAGTTATAATGACATTTGTGATTGTGGTTAAAATTTCATTTTCGGAGTTGAAAGAGAAACTGCAAGATTCTGAATCGATGTTAGCTTGAATTACTGACTCCATGCAGGTGTACAGAAACGAAGTCGTATTCTGATCGATGGAGGAAGAAAATGCCACCACCATCCATTGAAATCCTCTCCGACTTGTTAGATTATCTTTTGTCTGGGGACTACGTTTAACCTGCTCCAGAAAGAAATTGGGCGAAAATACTTCCCAAAAACTATTCAAGATCAAGAACAAGAGTGATAGAGGAAATAGGGAATACGTGTTTTAAATAATGGCCAAAAACTGAGTTAGTTTCTAGGGGAAGGACAGCTCCAAGTATCAGTATCAATACCGATGGTGGAAATATTAAATATTTTAATATGTGTGATATTTGCGAATCTTATACTTAGTCTGACAGTTGTTTTTTATTTGTTTTTGACTATTTTTGTCTTAAGTGTACATTTGACATTCGTTTAATCAAAAATGTATTTCACACGAGAGACAAGTCATACCTTTGTGATCTTGCTGGCCACCGCCACCAAAATTCGCTCCTTGTTCTCATAAATTCAGCATTTTTTGGCAGCTGTTCTCAGTGCACATAATCGGCCGCACTTCCATTCCCAGGAATTAATTTCCACGAATTCTTCATCTTCTGTGAACCAATGTGCTGTTATCCTATGGAACGGGAATCGATTGACAACGCCGCCCCTGTTAACGGAAGCCCATAGTGATGGTCCCGTGGTCGTATTACGCTCGATTCGCCATGAGAATGCAACTTGGAGAGATTTGTTGCTGGGGGAACGTCCAGTACCGTTTTTATCATGAAAAGCCGAAGTCGAAATCGATCAGAGCTATTGAAAACGAAAATCTAGGCAAAAATTATGACAAACAGAAAGTTGCAGTAAACATAAACAACAACGGTGCAACGTCATTGAGTGTATGCGTTAAAGTTACACTGTTATTTTTTTTTACTTTGAAGCTTTCCGCTTGACAGTTAATATCATTAATATTTATACTAAAAATTATAATATCTACCAATTTGAGCAATTTTTACATCAAATATTACTTCATATCAAGTTGTACTTCCGCTAGGTTAGCTTAATTTAATTTAGTGTATTTATTATGTTTTTTTAACTTCATGTTTTTTTTTTAATTTTAATTTGGAAGGAAAGGAATCTAGCGTTAGGGAGGGGATTAATCGTCATCTGGCACAGTACTCATTTGTGGGTGATGTATTTGACGGCTGGCAGACATCGGTCGACTCGCCCGACGTGTCGTCCTTGGCGTGCTGGGTTTTCTAGCGGCACACTTCACTTCTCCGATGGCATCGATTAGCCTCTGGAAGGCTTCGGGCTCCTTGCGGTACACCGGACATGCAGTCTTACCGGCACTTCACCGAGGACGTTGGTTGACTTCTTGAAGGCTTCAGGCTCCTTGCGGTACACCGGACACAGTCTTACCGGCACTTCACCGATGGCTGGATTAGCCTCTTCTAGCGGCACACCAGACTCACAAAACTGTGCGTTCACTGGCGGATAAAAATTATATTTATAAAAACTTGAACTTTTCCTCGTGAAATTCGTTCACCTAATAGAGAAAAATCCCACGGTGACAGGCACTTTTATCAGCCTCGGTGTGATGGTTTTGATAGTCTATCACACCGACGATAACCGTTGTAGTCAACTGTGGCTGTGTCTGGTGCTAACGCTTGACCACAGACAAACAGACATAACACATTGAATATTTCTCACTGTAAAACATCGTCGCTAAAACATTACCGCCATCTGTTGAGTACACTGTGGTGGGCACTGCGCTGAACAGTTGTCGGTAGTGTGTAAACGTCAAACGCAAGGGAATTGACTATGAGCAGGTGGAGGTACTACCAACTACGATACTTATAAATTGACCGTTAAATGCTTGTTCGATGAACTACTTGTGAGTGTTATGTCTGTTTGTCTGTGGCTTGATGGAAGGTGCATTAAGGGTGAGAATAGGGATGTACAGGAAGTGGATATATTCAATTTCAAATTCAATGGTTTTAATTCAGTTCAATTTTTAACTTAATTAAGCTACTCAGTAAAAACTAAAAATAACATATTTACAAAATATATACAAAGACGCAATGTAACCATTTAGCAGGTTACAGACTAAAGCAAACAAAGACCGGACGGAAAGATGAACGCCGGTCATGTAATCGACGCTTCGAGTATCTAGTGCGGATCCAGAGTCAAGAGGAGTTTTTTTAATTCCATTATCCAACCTGTTTGCACCAAACACACTAAGATTATTTTACCGAAATGTGTGAAATTTTACCGAAATCTCAACAGCTGAACGTTCGGTAAACAGTTCGGTGATTTTTCACAGATTTTCTGGTGAGCGCACATTGAAACTGTTGGGAGTCCACCTCCAACTTCACCACCAGGGCTCAATAAATGACAGGTGTCAGTGTGACATATGTCAGCGTGGACGTTGATGACACGAGGGAAGTATAGTCGCTATATTCATAGTCTTGTGAGTTTCTGATTGATTGTTGGTATGACCAAAGGCAATCTCAACGATTTCGCCGATCACATTCCAAAACGTACCGTTTGTGTGGGACAACCAGACCTTCTAGGCATTTGACCAACCCTCGTTGACTGCCGTATTGACAATACCCTATCGACCAACTATGGTGTAGAAGCACTTCAAATAGAAGCTGTTCTTGGACAAAACCACAAGCCGCAGGGGTTTTCGCTGTGAATCTGATTAGATGGATTGAGTTTGTTTGCTTTGAATGGATTCATGGTGCACAAAATGCTTACAGTTTTTTTTAAATGTGGCATGTCACGATTCTCGAACTTTTTGGGATTTACAATGGAGTAAACAAAGCCCTTAGCAATCCTTAGAAACGATTGGCAAAACGTCGACACTCGACAGTGACGACAGTGTTTGTGTGTTCTACTTGTTAACGTGTGCCATAACGTGCCAAACAGTGTGTCATGCTGTGTTTCGGCACAGTGTGCAGAGTAAATTACCCCTTGGGGTGATTATTTGATATTATGGCGAGCGTAAAAAGCTGAATTAGTAGGCAGTGATAATTAATTTATAAAAGACTAGATAGAGCTGGAATTAGGGCCTAACACCTTTTGTAAACAATGGCTTTTCTCGATGATTTCTAGGAATTCAAGGCGTGCCAATGCAAACCAACACGGGCTTTTCAGACTTTCCATACCTAATGGTGAAATTGATTTGCTTGGGCGAGCCTTGAGTTTCTATAAATCATCGAGAGAAGTCATTATTTACAAAAGCTGTTACGCCCTAATTCCAGCTCTATCTAGAAGTGTTCGGATTTCGAGACTTTACGATTCTATGGAAACAAAAATCGACATTAGATAAACATTGGTTGTCTAACTGTAGTCAACTGAATATAATCTTTTGAACCAGCACCAACCTTTACCAATGTAGCAGACATCAGATCCCATCATAAATAGATAGTTAGATTCAATTTTTAACACCCAATCTTTAATTCTAGGTAATTGGTCGTCACCAACTCCCAACTGTCACCCGATCCAGTGTCCTCCGTTGTTCCTGGAAGATCCCCACCTCAGTCTGGTGGAGTTGAACACATCCGCTTGGGGACGTGCCGTATTCCGCTGCGCTTGGGGATACCGTCTCAGCGGACCACCGGGACTGGAGTGTGAACCCAATGGTCATTGGAGTGGCCCAATTCCTAGATGTCGTGGTATGAATCAGAGCACAATTAAGAACAAATCATATTCATTCAGTTTGTAATTAAACGGTATCGCCATGATCATCTCAATTTAATTGCATCAACTAAGGTTCCTTAAGAGCAAGCCAATTGGAGTTTCATTTGTTTTCGTTGATTGCATCTGTTGTTGATATCATTCCGTCTTTAAAATTGGCACAAATCTTCTATCTCTACCAGCGATCCAATGCCCGCAGCCACTGGTGCCGATTAATGGTCGAATCGATGGAACTAGCGGGTTGAACACGTACGGTCAGCGCCGCTATGCCGTTGGGGCCCTGGTAACGTTCAGTTGCACCGAGGGACACCTGCTGGTGGGAGAAGCGTCGATAGTTTGCACCGAAACCGGCTTCTGGTCCCATCCGCCACCGTTCTGTAAGTAGACCTCATTCATTGCATCATCTCTGGCTTCGTCTTCTTGTTGTAGAATATTGTGTGATATTCGGAGTACAGGTACTAATACCGGTAGAGTTTCAAAAATAGCCGTAGTAAGAGATCTCTAGTTGAATCATACCATAAGAAACAATTTGCTTGCTCAGCCATGCACGTGTTTCCAAATGCCAAAAAAATTCTAATCATAAAAATTCAATCAATTGACTGCAAACAATTGATCCTGATTGGTTCGAGACCGGCACGCAATGGCACAATTACGAGCTCTCGACGTGTGTAAATACCTAGTTAGTGTCACGATTGTATTAACCGTCCAGGCGGATTTCGAACATTAACCAGATGATTTCCGTTTCACCAGGTAAGGCCCAGTGTCCGTACCCGGGCGATCCGCCTAATGGATTGATAGCTCCGCTCAAGTTCCACTACGACCCAGGCGACTATCTGACGGTGCAGTGTCGGCCAGGATTCGTCGAACATGGAGCCAACGGAGGACCACTGGAACGTCCGCGGTGCACCCCAGAGGGAGACTGGTCCGGACCGGTTCCACAGTGTCGAAGTTACGAGGAGATATAACTATACTAAGACGGGTAGGAGGACCATGTCAGGCCCTCCTGAGCAGGTAGACGACGGTAGTACTTCCTTGTGATAACAGCGGAGTTGATACAGGATGCTCTTGTTTGACGAGAGGCTACGGCAACACATAGACGGATTGTCGACGGCATCGGATGAACATAATGGTTTGATGTTTTTATGAAAGTACAACTTGAAACGGTTTGACCCCCCTAGTAGTGGAAGAGACAAAATGTAGCATTCGAAGCCATCCAAAAGACATGTGGTACTGTACCTTAGTAGATAACACTGTAGTTTCCCAAAGGGTTAGAACAGAGAGACACTCGGAAAGCAATTCTTTAGACGAATTTACTTTCAATACTGCAGCCTGTGCTGTAAACACGAAGGACACAATTTTTGACAGTAGTGTATTGTGTACATATTGTGCATTTATTATCAAGGACAAGAGCCATGGAAAACTGTGAAAACTGTTTATTTAATCCCACCTAAACCAAATCTACTTAAAGAACCCCTGCACTGTATCTGAAAACTTTCTCTATATCAATCATATCTTGAGATTAAGCTTACCCTATAAGTACACCGTGCACACACACACACTCACTCACTTTGTCTATCAAATCGTGTAACAAACAAAAAATTCTATGTAAAACGCTTAGATCAAAACGATCGAAACCTTACTCGCTGCTCTATTGTAACGCTGACGACTTAACTTACATTTCACTATATACAGCACACCGTATAGTTTAGATATAAAATGTTTTACCCTTGTCCTCCAGAACCATTTATGGAACTTTAACAGAAACTTTAATATTACAAGTTGAAAATGTTTTACAATGGATCAACAATAGCAGCTGTAGAACAAGCAAACAGACAGTATTATGGAAACACTTATTTAACAACATAAACATTAACTGTGGAGCAATCCATCCCATCCGACGAAGCAGTAGCAGCAGTTGAAATCAAATAATGCGTCTCTGGAAACGCTTGAGTTGAATACAATTCCTGAGGATAGAATATATATCACATCCTTTTAATAGACTTAAGCCATACACTTCAATTGTTACTGTGAAACTGAATTATTGTCACATGGAATAAAATTGCATGGAAGGAAAGCGACGGTCTGATCCCTAGTTGTCCGAAATGATCCACTACTCATCCGCTAATTATTGTCACAGAAGGTATCTCCTCTGTCGTACTTTGTGCAAATTTCACCTGAAAGTATAGAACAGATCGTTCAAACCCTACATACAGTCACAACATGGAGTAGCCACTCACTTGAGCTCCAATACTTATCCGGACAGTTGACGAATATCTTCTCGCCCAAACATTTTAAAAAGACAAACGCCGTGGCACTGCATTTCGTTCCGGCCTTGGCAATTGCGGACTTTTGCTCGCCGATCAATCGAATGCACATCTGTGCCACCCGGTCGATCGCATCCTTTGCCACCGGTTCCATGTTTTTGATGATTTTCCGAAACGCTTTTATATCGACGCGGTTATCTTTCAGGTATCCCAGCCCAACGGATTGACAATCGCTGAGGCACTGGTTGAGATTGAAGCGAGTGGGTATCAATGGGTGCTTGAATTTATGCAGAGTGGTAAAATGCTTACAACAATGTAATTTGTGTGGTCTTTTGCCATGTGAAGGTATTCTTTAGTACATGCTGGTAGTTCATCTTCAGGGATTGGCCGTGGAAAGTTGCAGCATGTCTCGAGTTCAGCTTTCTGTTCATGAGTACAACATTATTTATTAAATTCTGGCAGGCTTGCTTCTACTCACTTGATATAAAAAAGGATTTTCAGAATTTTGAAAGGCAAGTGTTTGACACATAAAACCTGTCAAATTCATAAATTCAATCTTAAAAATGCTGATTGGGACACTCTGAAAGCGAACATGACAGATTGTATTAGTCAAACACTTGCTTTCCAACCTCTTCTTGTATCGAACAAATACAACATCATTATAACATCTAATGATTTCAAAATTTCTAAAACCTTTTTATTAAATAGCAAGTGTGTGGAAGACCCTGAATTATGACTTTGATTTCGGAAATTGACAACCATACTTTGGATTTATCGATGCACTCAGATGAAAATTCCTGAAAAAACGAACCCGAATCAAACGATTGGTGTTTATTGAAAAGTTTTTAAACATTAGAACCTGCGTTAGTACAGTCCATGAGATGTACATTTGCGACCATATTGAAATGAATTTCCACATGTTATTGAAAAGAGCGAATCCTAATTTTTTCAAAGTTTAAATATTGAACCACATTGATACTAAAATGCGCATCCAGCTCAGTCAGCTGTTGGAGGGCAAATGTGAGATTTATCATCTAGGTTTTAGTGTGTGAGCGGTGAAAACTAATTGTTTCAATACCATTGTATGTTCAGAACAATCTTCTCTACTTCTGATCAACGATCTACTTTTAACAACTGTACAATCTCCATTCATACCTACAATTATTATATCTCTATAAACGTTCAATTAATAACACACTATAGCAACTTCAGGACGAAAGCGAAAATAAACAAAATTTTCAGACATTATTCGTTCCAATTTCCATGAAACTATCTACATATGCATGATAGTTCGCTATGGGCAATATTTCAAATTTGGCCTGGAATTCGGCCATTTTGACTCTCACGTCATTTTTCAAAATAACGTATTTGATATTTTTTCAATAAATCATGGAACAAAAAAATTTTTTTAATCGTAATAACTTCTAAAATAAATTTGTAGAAAAACAGATGACCTTCCCATAAATACATACACAACGTAATTTTGACAAACAATCTAGAGTGACATCGACGGAGGCAAGAATTGTCTTTATGACTACCAACTACCTGTAGGCGTTAGAGCTTGCTTTGATATGACCGGGCCGTCAAGGAATACATCGGATATTGCAGCCGACAACCCATTACCGGCGGAATGGGTCGAAACCAGTGGTGATCGCTGCGAATATGACCAGTAGGATGGAGATCGGGAGGATTCCAACTATGACACCCACGAAGCACGCCCAAGTAACATTTTAAGTTTTATGAAATACTACAAAGCAACTATAAAACAACATTCATAAAACCCTGGTCAAGGCTATTTTGTCATTAATGCATCCACCAAAACCTCATTAAGACTAGAATATGTCTAGTTGGCCCACCCTGGAGAAGGTTCTGAAGAGTGTATTCTCGAAACTCGTTAAGATTGATTTACTGCAAAAGGTTGTATGACGAACGCATTCAGAACCATTTGAAAGCTACAATAAAAGCTATTTAGCAACAATAAAAACCCTTTTCAAGCCATTTCCCCTAGCCGCATGCTGAATCCACTAGGAAAACATCAATCAAGATAGAAAAGGATTTATGAATCCGATCTTATCAAAATAATTAAAATAGAAACTGATGGTATAAAAATATTGTTGAATATCCAAATTTATTACAATTGTTCTCATTAAGTGACCTAGTTTTAAGTGCCATATTCAATTTTATGTGAAATGTACGTGAAAACATCGAAAAAATTAAGTCCACCCTCGTAAAACGTCGATTTGACCAATTATTTAACATTGAAAAAAAAAATATATTCTTCAGATCGAGCTTGGCCGACATTTTTTAAATGATTTTCGCATTTAAATGTTTGCTCATTGCTAAATTTACCAAAATATAGTTATATCCAAGGCAACATAGATTGAAAATGGAATATTGTAACATGGCGGTGGCATAAAAGTTGATTTTCATGGGTCATTTGTGAAAAAGTTGTTTTGCTTTCAAGAATTCCTTAACAAATTAATAAGGTTTTAAAATGGCTTTTATGAAGAAAACTTGCAGGCTGAATTGTATTTATCTAAAGCCATTTTGCTTGATCCTAAACCATTCAGATTAATGGCAGCATTTATGGAGGCAAAGTTGCCTGCAGAAAGTTAAACGTCAAAGTTTGTTTATCTTTCGATAGTTGCGCTGTGAGATCCAGGATTCTTCCAGGCGGTTTTCTCCCGATGGATTGTGAGCAGTTACTCAGATAGTTTGCGATGCTGTTTTACAACATTTCGCATTTCGAACAGCTGGAAGCGCAATCGTTCCCGAAAAAGATCTCCTTCTTCCGGATGGTTACAGAAGTGCACGATCCAATGATGCAGAGATGTACGGTTGAATAAAATTTTCGAAGAGTCTTTCGCCGAATAAAATCGCTGCTTTGGATCGGAAACCAGCTAATCTCCGCTAACTAACAGTTTCAGTGGTTTGCTGTCGCTTGTTTCGATTGTCATCGCAAGATCTGGAGAAGGCTGGTATGTTTTTCAACTTTAGACAATGTTTTATGAGTTCGAGGGCCCCGCTCACTTTACTCTTCTCCGACAGATGGACAGTCGTTGGTGGTGTGCTGGTTCTTCTAAAGAAGTCAATTTATCTGAAATTGACTTGATTTTTTTCATCCTACTTCGTCTATCCTTCGAGATTTCCTTGTCATAGATTTGGCATTTAGTAACTATGAGGAACCATCTTTTAAGCTCAATTTGTAAACAAAGTAATTGAGGAGTTAATGATGCTTTTTAAAAAGTCTAAAAAGCAACAATAAATGCTTTTTTCTCTAATGCAAAACCTAATAGTTTTATGGTTGCTTTTATAACGATAGAACACGTTTATAAAGTATTTTATAATGACATTAATAAACAATTGCTAATGACGTTTATGCTTGAATTATAGAACAGTTTTAAGGAGGGATTGATAACTGTTTTAAATTTATTTTTAAAACAAGACAGTTTTTGACTTTCTTGCCAGACTATAAAAGGTTTTTGAAACAGCAAAAAGCTGAATTACTAAGCAGGAATGTTTTACACTTTAAAATGCTATATTTAAACTAAGTGGATTGTTTATTGCCGTTATCAAACCATCATAAATCAGAGTGGATGCTAAATGGTTACTGAATTGCGTACGCATTTGTTCGTTTGATGTTTTCGATCAACCTTCATTATCGTGCCCTTTATACTCGTCCTGCAAGAATTAACCGCTGGCTGTAGTCTGGATTTCTCTGATTTGGTAGCGCGTGCACAGAAAAAAAAAGTTGTTGAATATTACATCCAAACTGCTGCAACCAGGTCAATCCATCGGTTGTGTAATATAACGTTGTACGATGTACATCGATTTTGCGAACAAAATTACATCCATTGATGTAATATTGTATCTGCTTTTTGCTATTACATAATCAATATTACATATTTTTTTTACTGTGTATATGGAATGACTGCCAAATTAGAAAGAATTATCTTTCTACAGCCATCGGTCAATCATTGACTTGATGATTATTATCCGCTCATTTCTTCTTATAGTTACGGGTAATCTAGCTTATTAGAGGAAATGGTCTGTTTTTATAATGTTGAGCTTGGTGTTGAATCATTATCCCCAATTGCGGAAGTCCCGAGTCCGTGTCCCGATCAGATTTCTGTGGAATCCTACCGATTGCTGGAGGGTGATGCAAGTTCAGGCTTCCGAAAATCTCATGCACACATATATGCGACAGTGAGCTGTGAAACTGGTTGTCACATTTCTCTTTGTCTCGCCAGGAGCAACACAAGCTGAGGTGACGCGACACTGTTATTGTGAGAGGGACACGTCACACGCACATATTTTTGTCGTGCACCTCACAAGTTTTTGTCTCATCTCTTTTCCCTCGCAATGTATGCATGTGGAATATAGTGAGATAAATATATGAGACGTCTCAATGAGACGTCTCAGTGAGACATCCAAATGAGGTATGAGGTATGAGGTATGGAGGTATCGTGTAGAAAATCTGGAAAAAAATAAAAACAAACTGCATGAAGAAAATATAGAGTTCGCTTGTAGTGCTTCGAAAAAGCGACTCTGTAAAAAAAAATCAAGCCACTTTAGTAGCGACTCCCATTTAACTATCAGAGTACCAAACCTGCAAACTTATAGTTAATGCTTTTGTGCACAGCACTCGCGTCTCGGAAAAAGGAACAGTCGTGCTGTGTCACAACATTGGTACATAGTTTGCAGGCTTGTCACTCTGATTCTTAAGTATTTAGGGATAACTATTTGAACTATCTACGTTGAATCAAATATAATTGTATGTTACCGAAAGAGGCTCTTTGAATACCGGTTG